CCCCTGCACTGATCTTCTTGAAACTTGGCAGGCTTTGTGACCTCAGTAAGAGCTACCACCCCTGCAGTTTTGACCCCCCTGTGTTGTAACTCATAGATATGACTGGAGTTTTGCTTTCAATCATTTGGGGTACAGTTGCCACCAAAAAATACCCTGCACCGATCTTCTTGAAACTTGGTAGACTTTGTGGCCTCAGTAAGAGCCACCATTCCTGCAGTTTTCACCCCACTGTGTTGTAACACCTAGACATGACATGAGTTTTGCTTTCACAAATTTGGGGTGCAGTTCCCCTCCAAACCCCTGCACTGATCTTCTTGAAACTTGGCAGACTTCATGCTCTCTGCAGAGTCTACCACTCCTGAAAATTTCATCCAAATCCAACAAAAAAAGCCAACGTCATAGATATTTTATTGTTTCCCCATTATACCCTATGGCCGGATCTCCAAGGCAGCTCCGAACCGCTTCGGGAAGTTGAACGAGGCCAGTGCTTCGACCCGGATGTGCTGCTTCAGACCCCGAAGCATCTGAAGCTTCTCTGGATCCAAAGCTCTGTCTGAAGTCTCGCACAGCCCTACTGATCACACTTCTGCAATCATTCCTATGGCAGCCGGTGCTGCCCTGAGTGTCACACGGCTGCCCCAGGTGCAGAGCTATGCCTACTGAAAGAGCTACCACTCTAGGGCTACATCCACCACTAAAGACTGACTATTGTTGGATTATGAAGCAGACATCTCATCTGGCTTTGCTTCATTTAAGCAGGATTGGGTTGATGCTTCCCATCCATTTCTGAAATGGTTAATATGGTAGGAGCAATCAGTCTACAGAAATGCCTGTATGAGCATCTCTGTACAAACTAGATGTCTGTCTTTATGTGGACTCTGATCTTCCATTTACTATAGCCTAAAAAAACACTATGAAAAGTTTATTACTTGACTCACTCATGGTTGTTTTTTTTGTACTGCAGATATTTGTGAAGTAAGATCCACTCCTTTTGCTTTGGAAGAACAACTGCTAATTCAGTGGCCCATCCAGGAGAAGTTAATCCTTGAGGAACAGTATTGGAAAAAACACAACACCACCACCATTACAAGTAAGATGTTTGTCTCTTGAGCTGCAATTTGCACTAGAAGACTGGAAACTGATTTTGCGTTTCACAGCAAAATTTTCAGAAGTACTTGAGTCTCATTTTCAAAAAGCATTTAAGATCCTTACTGTCACTGAAAATCATTGGAACACCCATGCCTCTCAAGCATTTCTGAACATGTTACTCTTAGTCCATGTTTTTCTATTTCATATTTAACATGATTGCCAATTACAACAGAATTTGAGAGGGTGTTTGGCATTTTCCAGGAAAAGGCCTTCTGTGTTCACAGGGCAGGACTATGTGATTCATGCGCCATGTGCATCTACAGCAATAAAGAAAATAATAATTGCAGGCATTAGGCTGCACTCTGTTCTAGGTTAATTAGTACTTCAGGCGGTCGAAAAAAATGGTTTTATTTATTCCCTTCCTTTCTTACAGGAAGTACACTGGACATTCTCTACAACTTTGCCAATTGTTCAGAATTTCAGCTGGTCTTTGGACTTAATGTCTTGCTGCGGAAAAGCAACTCTCAATGGGATAGTTCGAATGCTCAGTTACTCTTGGATTACTGTGCTTCCCAGAAGTACAATATGTCCTGGGAACTTGGGAATGGTAAGTGACAGGTCTGAGGTATGTGTACATGTGTTAAGGAAATCAGAGCCATAAGTATATCTTCTACCTGAGTGGCACAACATTTCAGAAAACTCTTTGATGTGCAAACCCTGTCCAAGAGTGACAGATTTATTATGCCTGTGTCTTACTCTTTGCAAACTTACTTACTTTGCCAACTGAGCTGTAAAACCATAATTCCAATGTGTTTCAGATTGTTTTACAAGTAGAGACAGGATGGATCACAATTTGGGGCTTTCCAGATATCATGTAATGGCATTTAGGGCCTAGAGATTGTTGGATGCTGATAACTGCTCTCTGTTAGGGAGGAGAAGGAAGGGAAGCAAATATCGCTGAGGTCAGAAGGATGGTCATTGTCAGAGAGGGAGGGGGAGCATCCCTGGTAGTGGGTAATAAGAAAGAACACAGGTTTGGGAATGGGGGAGCTAGAGGTAGACTATGTTAGAAAAGAGTAGAAGGAGAGGCTTAGTTCAGGTGGCAAGACAGTGGGAAGTAGTGGAGGATAGCAGTGGTCTCTGAGGAAAGAATTCATGGGAGAGGATGGTGAAGGTTCTTTGGAGCCAAGAAGATGGAGGGAGATAGCAAGCCAGGAAGTGAAAGAGAACAAGGAGGGTGCTAGCTAGATCAGGCTGGGATAACCACTGTCATGTGGCAGTTGACATTAATTTTCAGGGCACCATAACCTATTCAAGAACTGGTTCTGTACAGCATAAGTAAAAATAAGGTGGCGTTTTATTGGTGAAAAGAAATGGTGGGAGACTCACTGCTTAATTTGTACAACATCAGTTCATTTTTTGTACAGCACTTTGGGATGAAGTGTGCTAGAGAAGTGCAGAAGATTTTTCTTATATATTTAAAATAATTTGGGCAGAGCACTGGAGAAGGTACTAGCTGAGATAAGCCTTTGATGGTGGGGTGTGGCCTTCTGAAGTTGCAACAGTCCTTTTTATCCTGTGATTTCATGTTGCTTTGTAGCTTATCTAGTATCTGCTTTTTGCATTTAACACCCTGTAAATTGGTCGGTTATTACTGCTGTGCAAATTTTGACAGAATCATTACACGTTTGTTTTGGAAGCCTACTAAGAAGAGTCTGTGTGTATGCATTTCTTCCAGAGCCAAACAGCTTCAGGAAAAAGTCTGGCATATATATTGATGGCTTCCAACTAGGACAAGACTTTGTTCATCTACGCCACCTTCTGAGTAATTATAGTTTCTACAGGAATTCAAAACTGTATGGCCCTGATGTTGGTCAGCCACGGAAGAAAACTCAGAAGTTGTTGAGGAGGTAAGAAAGCAGAAAACAGGCATAAGCTTGATAAGATAGGGCAGAAAACTGAACAAAGGCTGTAGGAGTTGGGTCTGAGAATGCTGAAGGTGTTAAAGATGACACTGAAAGAATGAGATGCCGTTGAGAATTCATTTGTTCTTAGTTTTGGAAAAGAATCAGTTCTGCCCTCACAGTGTGTAACTGAAACCCAAACTGCATGCAAGAGACGAAGAGCCAGCTCTTAACCTGATGTCATTTAGCCCAGTCCCACTGCTGCAAGTAATATCTAAACCAGCTGAGGATCCATTCCTGCAATGTAGTGGAGTTTCACTAACCTGCACACCTTGCAGTTGGTGATATAGTACCAAAAGTAACAGTGGCATAAGTAGGAGTATACTACATACATTAAGATGTAGGCATCGCCTTGAAGTAAGGAAGAAGATTAGGGGATAAGGCACAAAGAATGTTTATTGAATTGAAATGAGAGAGTCTAAATCATCCAGAAAAAAAATTATTTAGCGTGGGTTAGTAGCATTCCAGTGTACCAGACAGTGAGTTCTGTAGGGGTTTTTAATATCTTTCTCACTCAAAAAAGGTCAAATCTACTTCTAACACAGTCAGCTTAAATAAAAGTTTTAACTTGTGGCATGTACCTCAGGATATCAAAGAACCACACAAACATTAGGTAAACCTTTCAACAATTCACTGAGGTAGGTAAGTGATATGAATACCATTTTATAGATGAGCTAAACTAAGGCCCAGGAAGGGTAAGTGACTTGTCCAAGATCACTTTGCAAGTCGTTATCAGAACTAGAATTAGAATCTAGATGTTCCTGGCTTTAAGCCCTAGAGTCTAGATGCTGCTGTTTGACTGCATTAAAGGCATGTCTGTTGTCACTGTCAGCCCTTCATTCACAGTATTATCTGCTTTTCTCTATCAATATTCAGTATGTTTAACAAAGAAATGAAACTCTGTTCTTTACTTTCAGCTTTCTGAAATCAGGAGGGAAAGTAATTGATTCTGTCACTTGGCATCAGTAAGTACAAAATATGTGTCCAGTTGCTTTTATAATTGACATAGCTTTTTTTTTTTTAACGGTAATTTTAAAATATAATAGGGGCAAAGGCAGAGTAAAACAAAACCAGTCTATGTAGAGTTGTCCCAAAGACAGGGTTTGCAGTTCACAAGACATTTAGTTTTTGCAACATTTCCTATGAACTAGATCACGGGTGCGCAATCTATAGCCCATGGACCAGATTTGGCTGCTGGAATCTTTAGATCTGGCCCATGGACATGGGCCTTTGGCATCATTCAGTATGGCGGCTTTGGCTGCAGGTGCTCTCCCCATGCCACTGAGGAAACACGCAGCAGCAGTGGCGGGGTCATAGCATCCCCCTTCCAGTCCACCTTCAGTGTGGAATGGGTCATTCCATCTTTCAGCTGAAAAAGATGTTCCATAGATCCTGTGCTGCTCAATGCAATTGTTCTTGTGGGTTGATGATTGACTTTGCCAGTTAGATGAGCTGTACTGAACTCCTGGGATCTAGACACTGAAGCAGGACTCCAAACAAGTTCACTCAGAACTCTGCCTTGCATTTGGCAAGATTTTATTGAACCCAGCAGGTTTTGAATGAAATGTTATGAGCTCAGTAAGCTGTCATTTTCTGAAGATATTGTCTGAAAATTTTCCAACCGCCTCTACATGTAGACAGATGTTGTTCAAAGTGCATGCAGTCATTGTGGTATATTGTCTCCCTCTGGTGGCGAGGTCACATGCAGAGGCTAACAAGCCTGCTTATAAAGTAGGTCTCCCAGCTCAAGCAGTAGCAAATAGTGCTTTTAGAACCAGAATTCAGATGTCAGAGCCCCACTTCTGACATCTTCCCTACAGCTGATGCACTCACAATGAGTTAACAGTATTTTAATTTTAATAAAAGGAACAACAAAACAAAATGCACAAGGCCCAGTCCTGCAGCACCACTGAGCTTGGGAATGATCAGGGCAGCAAACACATTTTGCAGGGTCAGACCTTAGTAACTTAATAAGTGTAGAGCAGGGGTGGACAACCATTTTGACTGGAGGTCCACTTAACGAGTTTTGGTGAGCTGTCAAGGGCTGCATACACAAAATCTTTCAGAAAATATCATTTTAACAAATTCTAATATTATAAACGCCTAAATCTGTCTGTCTGTCTGTAATGTTTTGGTCGCACTCTGATGGAAACAGCCAATCAGAGTGCTCCAAGCATGAGGGAGCACTGCCATGATTCCAAAGCCACGCTGAGAACCAGACAGGGTCCTGCTGGCCTCAGCTCCCCCACCCCAGTCCCTGCAAGAGGCAGAACAGCAGCAGCATGGGACGTTCATTCTTGACTGGCAATTGACTAGTTATAGCTAAAAACAAGTCATATACTAAAAATCGAACATCTACTATAACATTTTAATTTGATTTTAAAAATTATTTTTGTCCTGATTTATGTTTTTTAGACTATTGTGTATAGAGGTGATTGCATAATAGCTCAAAATAAAGTCTTACTTTAGTATATTGTGTTGGGGGCAGGGTGGTGGGGTATATGGTGTGTGAGTGGAGGTTGAGGGGGCATGGGGGCAGTGTGTGGTGTCTACCTGAGCGCTATACATGTGAGGGGTCTACCCGAGTGCTAGGTCCTGGGAGATGGCCGGGGACGGGGGGAGGAAGGGAGCAGGGCAGAAGGTGCATGCAGCACAGCTCACCTGGGTGTTATGGTGCAGGTACAGTCCACACCCACCCTCCATCCAGCCCATGACTGACCCCACAGTGCTCCACTTGGGGTTGAGCTCCACCCACTCCCACCCAGGGCAGCCTGCACTGCACTCTTGCCTGCTTCTTCCCATGGCCCTGGCCCTGGCCCCAGCCAGCGCGCACAGCTTCCTAGCGAGGCTGCTTCTGGTGTGGCTGCAGCTGCCCAGACACTGCTTGGCTTCCTCTGCCTCCAGTGGCTTCTCTTCCTCCTGCCCCTTCTGTCCCAGGCAGTAGGTAGCATGGGGAAGGGTGGCAGCTGTTGGGACACATGCCAGGTACCTCGCACCCAGCCAGACAAGGGGGAAGCTGCAGCCGGGCAGCTCTTGCCCCAGTGCATGGGGCTCCAGCTCCCTGGCACCTTCCACCCACTCAGCCATCCATAGGTGGCTGCTCATTGCATTAGGTGGGCAGAGTGGGTGGAAGGTGGCCAGAAGCTGGAGCCCTGCATGCTGGGACAGGAGCTACCTGACTGCAGCTTCCCCCCTGCCCAGCTAGGCATGTGGTGCCCAGCACACATCCTCATGCACACCACCCTTCCCCACGCTACCTGCTGCCTGGAGCAGTGCAGCAGGGTCAGGAGGAGAAGCCACTGGAGGAGGGGAAAACCGAGCAGTACCTGGGTGGCTACAGCTGCACTGACAGCAGCCCTGCCAGGAAACTGTGCGCTTTGCCCTGGCCAGCAGGCTGGAGCTCAGCACAGGCTGCCCCAGGCAGGAGTGGGCAGGGCTCAACCCCATGGAGGGTGCATGGGGCCAGCCAGGCCAGATCCATTCAGTAGGAGGGCTAGATCTGGCCCAGGGGTCATATTTAGCCCACCCTTGGTCTAGAGGCTCTGTTTCAAAATGGTTCAAGCAATACTTCTTGTTGCAACAATGTTTGCAAGTCTACCCCTTCCCCACACTCTCTTGTCTCTGAACATAGGACATAGATAGCATGACTCGGAAGAGTGGGGTTTAGTCTTGGTTTAAAAAGGCCAGCCCTGAGCATCACTGCGAGCCTCAATGATGCTTGCTCTGGTCTGTTTCAGTGTCATTCCGCAAGCCCCACAGTCAACATCTAGCATGCCTGCTCTATCTTGCAGTAAGTGAAAGCTAAATTGAGGTAGTGGACCCCTGAATGAAACAACTCCTTAGTTACCACAAATCAGTTTCCACTTAGCATGAGCTAGAGCAGACACAGGAAACAGTTAACATGGAGCAGCAAATGCATGGTAATTCCCACCCCGCTCCCAACCCTGGGTCTTCTTAATCAGTTTAATTTATTTGTCTGCCATACCCTGAGAGAGAATCTTGCAATCATTAATGAGACTGTAGACCAGAGGTGGGCAATTATTTGGGGTGGTGGGCCACTTAACAAGGTTTGGTGAGCTTTCAAGGGCCGCATGGGTAGCCCCACCCCTTGACAGTTGCCCTGCCCCTTGATTGCCATCTCTACCCCCTGACCTTTACCACTGGACCTTTACCCTTCCCTGACCTTTACCCTCCCCTTGCCCCCCCCCATACTCCCTTTTGGGAGGGGGGGGATTGCCATCTTAGAACCAAGGGGAAAAAAGCAAATCATACACTAGAAGTCAAACACCGACTATAACATATTTTAATTTTTTTACAAAAAATACTATTGTCATTTGTGTTTGCATAGTGTATATAGAGGTGATTATATAATAACTCAAAAATAAATTCTTAGTCTTGTATATTGTGGGTGGTGTGGCTCTGTGTGTGTGTATGGTGGGGAGGGTTGTGAAGAAGTGAGGCTGTGTGTGTGGGGGAGCATAGGGTATGTTCAGGGGGGTGTATACGTGGTGGGGTATGGGGACAGGATTTGGGTGTGTAGCACTTGTGGGGTATGGTGGGGGTGAGGACCCCCTCCCCACACTCTCCCTATGACACAGCAGAAGGTGTTGGCGCTCAGGGTGCTGGTGCCCAGCAGCGCACAGCTCTGGTCAGCACTGCACATGCTGGCCAGCACTGCACATGCTGCATCATGGCAAGAAGTGCAGCCCCCGCCAGGCCATCTCTAAAGCCGTCACTCCCCACTGCACATGCACAGCCCCCGCACTTGTGCAGCATGGGAGGGAAGCCCCATGCACTGGAGCCAGCTGCCTTCCCTGCCTCCATGCCCCATGTCAGTGCAGGGACTGTGTGCGCATGGCAGGGAGCACCGGCGATAGAGATGGCCCAGCGGGGGCTGCGTTTCTCACCTCAACGTGCAGTGCTGGCTGGAGCCAAACATCAGTGCCCCACATGCCCCTGCCTGCTGCTGTTGCTGCTGCTGCCTTTGGGGGCTGCACAGCATGGGGAATTTAGGGGGAACCCCACACCCCCCCACCTTCCCTGCCTCCCTCCTTCCCTCACAACCACACACTCTCCACCCAACTCCAGGCTGCCGCTACCCTCTAGATGCAGACTCTACACTGCAGCCAGCCCCATGCTCCACACTCCTGCCCAACTGCAGCTCCACCTCCACCCCCACCCCCACCCCCACCGCTTCCTTACCTGCTGCCTGGAGCAAGTGGGATGCTAGGGAAGCCAACCAGGTCCTCTGCAGCAACAGCAGCAGCCCTGCCTGGAAGCTGCCTGCTGGCCAGGCCGGGCCCTTCTGCCTGCAGTGGTGGGATTGGGGTGTAACAGGGTATGTTAGGGGCATGTGTATACGTGGGCTCCTTGCTCCCACCCTCATGGGTGGAAGAGCTGGGTGGGGTACAATTCATTGGTGGGTGATGCAGGCTGGGTGAAAGTGCCTGGAGGGCTGAATCTGGTCTGCGAACCATATTTTGCCTGTCCCTGATTTAAAGAGTAGTGACATTGTTTTGAAATGTTGATGTTTGGATATATAATGCCTAATTCAGGAAAGCTCTTAAACATGTTTAACTTTCAGTATATACTTGAACCCGCTTGACTTCAGTGGAATCTAAGTATATGAACAGAGGTGCTCTTCTGGGTCAATGTCTATTGTTGGGGTCATTACCAGGATCATGTTATACATAACATGATATAATCTTGTACTAATATTATTTAATGTGCCATATTACTAATTTTAATTTAATTAAAAAGAAATAACTATGTTGTTAGGATTTATAAAATCCAGAGAAATAATGCAAATCGAGACTAATAAAAACTCTACAATAAATAATACCTCACTACATACAGCAAATCTGTCATGATGTCAAATTCAGCAACTGCATCATCAAAAAGGGGTTTTGATACAAAACACCCCTGCAGCTGAGAGCATTGCTGGAATATTTTAGAGCAATCAGGTCCAGTGTGAGTGGCAGAAACCATTTTTAGGAAAGGTGGCATTGGTTTTGTAATTTAAAATTAATCATCTTTTTTTTCACTTAACTGCTGAGTCCTGTATTTGAGTTTCTGTTTCTATTTTACTGGAAAGGTCCAAGTGCCTGTGATGGTCCGTGCTCACTTCTGATCTCATCAGCTCTTTTAGGTCAAACACAGCCACAGTGAACTCAGGATTCAGCAGTTAAGTGAAGTGGGAAGCAGATGTATACATTTGTAAATGTATTTGCAAAGGTGAACTTGACAGCATAAGATGTGTCCTTTGCAACATAAGTGTCCTTTGAGATACAAAGACCTCAAAGCTCTTTCCATTTCATCTCCTCCACTTGCAGGCAAAAACTTTCTTATCTGCTGCTTTTTCACAGTGGGAATGTCTGGCTTTGACTTTTGCTTGTGGTTAAGGGACTTCAGAAATGTTTTGAGGAATGGAATAGTAACTTCATAATGCGTCATCACCCTAACACAGTGGTACTCAACTTCTCCAGTCCTGGGGTCCGAGTGGCACAGGGTCAGTCTGCAGGCTGGATCCTGTGTGCTGGATCTGGCCACAATGCAACCTGGTACACAAGGTCATGTCATCTGGAGCTTGAGGCTCCCTCCAGGTGTGGAAATTTGGTAGCAGGGGAGCAGTGTCAGCATTAATTACCAGGGTTCTGAGAGCAACTAGTGATTAGGTACTCCCCCACCAGCACATTTCAAGACTTATGGGAAGCCCTAGGGGCCAGAAGACATGGCTTTGTGGGCCAGCAGTTGAGCAGCACTTCCCTAAGATCTTGATCTCCCAACCCACAGTTGGATACATCTAACTTGAACCTCCCTTCAGCTGATGGCAGGGAAAGCCATTGCCCAGGTATCCCTCTTTTGGGTGTGTAACCATCCCAGTGACCCCAAGATCAGAGAAGTCCTCCAGCAAAAAGATGGAAGTTAGAACCTCTGCTGCCAAAGCCTAATAGCACCAACAATTTGGAGGGTTTTTTTCTGTTTATCATCATAAAAGACTTAGACACCCTTTTTTTCTAGTAAACTTGATAATTTGGGATCCTGGTTCTTTTTTTTTAAAGCTTCACTGTTTACAAGTGTAGTATTTTTCAGTCACTCGTGGCCAGTGACCAGTGTGCTCTCATGGATGCAAATTCCAACTGCAACCATTAAAGGTTGTGGTTTGCACAATGTGAGCTTATGACTACTTGAAAAGCAGATGAGGGAAAGGAGGCAGGGAATATTAAATTTAAGGTTGCAAGAAAAGCCTGAAGTCATGTGAATAAATGCATTATGTAACAAAGCTTTTTAGATCACATTTTATTTTCTTGGCTGCTTCATTTACTTTTGCTCTCTTGGGGGTGTCTTAACTTTTCAGTTACTACGTAAATGGCCGAACTGCTACCAGAAAGGATTTCTTGAGCCCTGAAGTGCTGGATACCTTTATTACAGCAATAAACAATGTTTTTCAGGTACAGTGTTTTGTTACAGTGTCCTCACACAGATACATTACTGAGTGTAGATTAGAATAGGATAAACTAGCAGTTAATTAAAGCAATCTAAGAGATTGTTCTCATTGTAAATAATGTAACAAATATTAACAATGCTAACAACATCTGATCCTGTGGAAAATATTTTGATGGAAGGAGAATCGTCATTTAACCATAAGGCTGGAGAGAGTATACACTACAGAAATGAAAACAGATGGATTTGTCCATGTTGTCACAGCCTCACAGATGGAATTTCTGGGTGGATTCTGACATTTTTACATGAAGTAGTATCTCATTTACTGTGTATTCCTGCTGACTTCAGTAGGATGGCATGCAGAGTAAGATACCACATAGCGTGAGTAAGCATGACAGAATCTGGCTTTCATTTGTATGTGCCATTTTCTGCATCTGGTCACCAGATCTTTCCTGGAGCTGTGCTTCATTCAACCTGAGCTTGCTAGGAAAAACCTTTGAAATTCATACAACTTACCCAGAGACCTGATTTGATCTGATTGATTTAGGGAGACCCATGGGTTTATTTATTTACTTTTCTTTATTCTAACAATATGACATTCTCTAGATTGTTGATGGAACTGTTCCTGGCAAAAAAGTTTGGTTAGGAGAAACAAGTTCAGCCTATGGAGGTGGAGCACCCAGACTGTCTAATACATATGTTGCTGGCTTTATGTAAGTAGAACAGCGTGCATTTACTCTTTTCCAAGGTGGTTCTGGGAGACCTGGTTACAGCTCTACCTTTAAAGGCATATCAGCAACATTCTTCCTGACTAAGCAGGAGTGGGTGTTGGTTTCTCTGAAGCCCAGTAACATTTATGCATTTACAGATCTAAGTTCATTGTTCTCAAACCATCTATTTCCCATGGCCTGAGGATGTTACTCCAAAATGCATCTGTGAGATTTAAGCATAAAGGATAGCTACATATGCAGTATTCTGTAACTTCTGGCTAGGAAAATAGGTTTCTCAGGCTTCTGAATAGGTATAAAAGAAGGGCTAAGTAAGTGCAGTCCATAGAGGATGGCACAGCCTTTGTACCTTTCTTTAGAGTAGCTGATTGGGTTTAGGACTGGAAGCATGACTCACAAAAACTATGGCTGCCAGTAGCCAATGAAATTGTAGAAGTAATTCTGGTAAAGTCCCAAACTTCAGTCGTAACTTGTGCTCCATCCACTCATGATGCCAACATAAGATGAAGTTGACAAGTTTGAAAAGACCCATACGATAAGATTCTTTTTTCTTTCTTTGACCCAGACTAATCTCAAAACAACTAACCATGTTGGTATTTAAATTGTCCCTAACAGATTTCAGAGTTAAAACTTCACTGAAATGACTGGAATACTCAGACCTTTAATTTATCTGTCTGCAAACTCAGAAAGACACCACACTATTGTTTGGTTCATATTGTTGAAGGTTATCTTGGCAACCAAAACAATTAGGGAATTTAATTGTCAAATGAAAGTCAAATGCTAGAATGAAATATAACCTGAGCATCTGGTAGTCCACCTCAATCTGCCTGTGCTGAACTCAAGATCATATAGTAACTCCTTAGCTCCACCAGTTGCCTTTGTTAATGAAGAAGAGGAAAATAGCTTGGGAGTTCAAGGAAACAGCACAGTTAAACCAGGTAGCTAGTCAGAATCCAATTCAAAATGCTTCTCCAGGGATGCTTCTCCTGTTCCTGATTTTTTATTTTGTTGCACAGTGTTCTGTGGGAGTCAGCATTATCTCATTTTTCTTATTTCTGCTGTATGCAGAGGTCAAAAAGAATTTAATCTATATAATTTAGTCTTAAAACACGTATTTTTCTACATAGTTTAGGACTGTTTGCATTAATGTTTATCTTATTTGTCTTTCTCTTCTCCTGCAGGTGGTTGGACAAATTAGGACTGTCAGCCAAATTGGGAATTGATGTGGTGATGAGACAGGTATTCTTTGGAGCAGGAACCTATCACCTGGTGGATCAGAATTTTGAACCCTTGCCTGTGCGTATACAATAACATTAGTTTGACAACAATTTCATATATGTATATTTACATGCTGGCTAAAGCTGAAGTACAGGCAGAGGTCAACTATTATAACAACCCTGGCAAGAGCTGCAAATTCCGAAAGGTACTCACAGATATGTATCCTTCTGTTTAAAATCAATTAAGTTCTGAGTATGGGTTGAATGCGCTATAACAAAGCAACCTCTAGCAAAAAATGTTGAGAGAGTCTTTGGGCCTAAGCAGTAGAGATAAGCCTGAGAGAAATCTGATCAGGGTCCAAACTTTCCAGACTCATGAGGATTTTGTTTAGTGATTTTAGTTTGGGTATTTTTTGAGTGAGTGATTTTTTTTTTCAAAAGTTGTGATGGACATCATTGTTTAGCTCTTTTAACTATGAGCTAACAACATAATATTATTTAAGTACAAAGTAAGCATTTTATCACAGCTAAAACCAATGCACTTTTTTCTTTCCTATATCACAAAGAGAACAAGTGTTATTTGGGAACAGTGTTTTGTTTTGATGAAAGGTTTTCTCCATTATAGCTTCTGTTGGCTTTGTCTAAATAAGCAGCTACACTTAGATGAGGGAATAACACTTCCCTGCCTTTTTCTTCCCTTTTCTCCACATGTGGTCCTCACCCAAGTTGTGCTATTACAGATTCCAGGAAACAGGGCTGATACAGCAAATAGTGTCTCTAGCTACAGTTCTGTTCTCTGTGTTCTCATCAGAGTGGCAAGGCTGCAGGTGGAGGAAGAGTTACAGCCCATCATGCTTTCCTTAATCTGAAATAAAAGTCATCAAAATTAAAAGCCACTGCTTGTTCCTGGGTACAAAAACATTAACAAAAAATAAGTCTTCACAAGTGCTCTCAAGGCTGCT